GGGTGGAGGGGCATCAGCTGTTGCGCAGATGGAGGGGGCAGATTAAGGGAAGCCAGGAAGAGGGGGTGGGAGAAGGGGGCTGAGCAATGGGGGAGCTGGGTTATGGGGAAAGCACCTAGCCCAGGGCCAGAGTGGCCTCAGGCAACTTGGGAACCCACCTGCCCTCTCTGCTCAGTTGGGTGCAGGATTATGGGGCAGGCCCAGGGCCCAGTGGAGTCCTTGTGGGGATCATGTGTGAGGTGGGCTGGCCTGGGGATGCAGGGTCCTTGGTTACACCATGTAACTCGGATCCCGACCCGGCCCCGGGTCTCTGTCCATGCGTGTCCGTCACAGGCTCCTGACCTGGCCCTGGGGTTCTTGTCTATCCGTGTGTGTCCGTCTTAGCCCTTCACACTTATCAGAACACATATGGCTGCAACCTCTTGGCTAATGGCAGCACCTGGGGCATTGACCAGTTTGCATTTGATGGGAACGACTTCATCAGCTTTGACAAGAACACGCTGACATGGGTAGCGGCAGACCCCGGGGCCCAGGTCACCAAGCGGAAATGGGGTGACAGCGACATCCAGTATCGGAAGCGATACCAGGAGCAGACCTGTGTAGAGTGGCTGCGCAAGTACCTGGAGCACGGGAAGGAGACGCTGCAGAGGAGAGGTGACATGGGAAGAACAACCCACCTGGGGGTCATCTCTGTACTGCAGAGACCTGCCCCCTTCCGCCCCATGTGATCACATACTAGGGGTTTGCACCCATCCAATGCGCTGCTGCTGATCCTCACACCCACCCCATATGTGAAATGTGGGCAGGGCTATTCCCTATCGTCTGTGGCCCCCGAGGATCACCGGGGAAATACCAGAGTTTTTGGTCCATTGGCAATTCTGAAAAGTCATTTGGGAGGAGAGGGGGGGAGGATTTTTATTTGCTTTGGACAAAACGTTTTGTTTGGATTTCAACCAGTTTTCTCCGTTTTTGAATTTAGTAACAATACAGTTCTGGGCAGCGTTAAAATCCAAACCCATTTTTAATCCCAAACTCCAGAGGTTTTTATTTTTTAATGTGAAATCAGCCCAGTTGTAGCTGAAGTTTCACCCAGCTCTGCCCCAGAGTGGGCATTTCCCCCGAGCAGAGGCTCCCCCGGGGCTCTGTCCGCTCCGGTGGCATAACCAGTGATGTGGGCACTTCCTCAGTGTAGACCCCACCCTCCCTCTCAGTGCCCTTGTGACCCTGGGCTCCTGCAGTCGGCTGCCCTCAGGGACATGGGGCTGGGGGGCAGAGCTGTCCCTGATGCTGAGAACCCAACTCCCTCTTAGGGGATGCTCCTACCTCTCTGAACCCCACACCCTGTCTTTTTGGGTCCCTGTCCCTGTCTGGGCATAGGTGGGTGGGGGGACACTGGGGCAGGTGCTGGTAATGGCCCGGGGGACCCGGTGCTCCTCACAGTCTGTGACCCTGCGGCTCCCCCTCTGCCCCCTCGTCTCTCCAGAGCGCCCGGCCGTGCGGGTCACCGGCAGAGACGCCCCCGGCGGCCCCACCACCCTCTCCTGCCGGGCCCACGGCTTCTACCCCCGGGACATCGCCCTGAGTTGGCTGCGAAAGGGGGAGAGCAGCGAGCAGAAGACATGGCGAGGGGGGGTCCTGCCCAATGGGGACGGGACCTACCACGCCTGGGCCACGGTGGAGATCGACCCCCGGGAGAGAGACCTGTACAGCTGCCGTGTGGAGCACGAGAGCCTGGCCCAGCCGCTCGACACTGCGTGGGGTGAGGCCGGGGTGTGTGTGGACGCTGGATGACATGGGGGGGGTGTCACAGG